GGTGATGCGGCGACGCGATACGGCATGGTAGCTCATAGGCGTTTGCACAACAGCGTCACAGAAACGTTGTGGCATTTTCTTCGCTCGAGAAACATACGCCATCATCAGCTACGTTTGTAGCGGAGCTGAATCTAGTACAGCCGATAGCAGCCGTCCTCATTCTTGTTCGATTTTCTCCCTTGTCTAACCATCGTCTTAAAGTTACCTATGTTCGGTTCCTGTTTTCGATAATTTTTTGTTTTCAGCCACAACACGGGCACCACCCACTGGATCGACCCCCGCGCGCGGTTCCACCAGCAGCACCCCAGTCACCATTCGACCTCGACCATGTCACGTCAGAATTCTACCGCCTCCGCCAGAGCAAACCGAGGTAAGAAGCGCTATCGAAGAGCATCCTTAGATTTTTTTAACAAGCTACTGACTTGTTCCGTTATGCTGTTTTCGTGTTTAGGCGGCGAGGATCTACCTTACGGCTGGGAGAAGGTGGACGACCCTCAGTACGGCTCGTACTACGTCGAGTAAGCGACACTCATGCGTTTGTAATTTTTATGCGCGTCTCTTGTTTTTCAGCCACATCAACAAGCGGACGCAGTACGAGAAGCCGTTCATCGTGTCCAGTAAGTCGAGACGTAGTTCGAGTGGTTTGTTCGTTCGCGGTTGTAGGCGTTAGTGCAGCAAATACTGTAGAAGCATCGTGTATTTATAGCACGGCATAAAATGGCTACCTGGAGGCTGTTTGAGTAGCCGGCACGGATAACGGGTTGTTAGACAACACCGCGTAGCAGCAACATCAATGTTTTCCTTGAAAACGTGTGCGATGCTCGATCCAGCAGTTCCTCCACCCGACCGTTTTTTTGTCTTACAAGTGTCTTTTAAACCCAGGTTTTTTGTACATGCTGCTTGTAATTTACATTTGTCTAGAAGATACAGACAATTTGCACTGTTAGTTTATTGTCCTTATTCAGCTTCAAGCATTCCTCTGAAGAATGGGTTAAATGTATAATTGAGTTATAGCAAGCAATCGTTTCGTTTGTCCCCAAAGATATTTTTTCTGCAAATATATTATTTATGCTGAAAACAGCAAGTGTGCTTTGGCTGAAACATGAGCAATTGCTGTTGCAAGACCATCAAGGTCTGTTCTCTTTCGTTGTGTCTACAGTGATTGAAGCGGCAATCTATAAAATACAAGATCTGTAAGCTTTTTTGTGAGGTAGTTTCAAACCTCTCTGCACCGCCGTATTTGTTTCAATGTGTTGAAACCTGTTGGCTTCTAGAACCCTGCAAATGACGTACAGCATCTTATTTGTATTGCAGTTATTCATGCATCGGTAGTCGTTCTTTAAAAAACAGCACAGCAGTAACTTATTTGTGTACAACGCAACACATGTGCGGCATACTGGCTTGCATATCGATAGAACTGGAAATCGCAGTTCGAGTCCGGATCGTTTCACTCCTTATTGCTCCTGTCACGGTAGAGGTAGATTGATAAATGAGTACCACTTTTCGAGAAGGAAACAGAAGACTCTAGGATGTGGTGTTTCATTAGAGAAAAAGATCTATTAGCCCTTCCTTGCGTACGGCACGAAAGCAGAAATCAGATCCATACACCATAAGCTTCTTGAAAAGAAAGGTGCCAAAGATGGAGTTTAACGGTGACCGACATTCTACG